TGAGAGTTGTGTAGGACGGGATGTACTGAACAGCAGAATGTCAACTACAGCTGACTGTACTTGGCACCAACACTGTGCCACTTATTTTTGTGTTTGTGTGCAACTATTATAATCTTGTATTATGAAAACCATTTTGTATTCGAATTGGAAATCTTACATCTAAAACGCATTTTGAAAGCTATTTTCAAATCGGAGCCAGATAACTGAGCGAGCTATAGAATTAGTTTAGTCAAGATAGCTGCATCACATCATTTCCAGACAATTAGTGCAGATAATGAAAAATAGTTGGAACCTCCCACTTGAGCACATCTTGACACTGTTTTAATCTTATCGCTTTAAAAGCACTAAATTGTTCTGATATGTGTGTGTGCATGTCAACAGTATTATTAAGGGGGTGTCAGTCAGATAACACAGCTTTTATCAACGTGACTAATCAGTAGTTTGTCATTACAGAGCTGTTACTGATACACATTATTCTACTTTTTAATCGTGCTATATTGACTATTGACAAAAGTCAACACTACTACCATACAATACTAAACATGGGCTTTATGGCTACAGTTTTCTTAATTGTAACATGTAAATTGACTTAGTGCAATTTAAATCACAACTGCAGTCAGAAAAAAAATCACAATTACATGTTTTTCTCAAATTGTTAAGTCGAGTTTAAGGTTGAAAGTGAAGGTTAATTTGGGTTCATTAGGTTAAGTGTTTAATAATCAGACTATATACGCGCTGTAAACAACACAGGATTAAAAAACTATTCTTTTTATCTCATTTCACTCATCGTGTTTCAGAGACAATGAAGAGAACACAGAAGGAAACATCATCCCAGCTGCTCGCTGTGTTCAGATCCTCACTAGTGTGTGTGTGTGTGTGTGTGTGTGTGTGTGATGAATATTTCAGCATCTTCACTGTCAAACGACACCACTTGAACTTACAGTGAGTGCTCACCACATGAGGGAAAGTGACTTCATGAATGAGCTGTAGGTCTGTTTATTTTTGTGTATGACCTCTGTGTGTGTGTGTGTGTGTGTGTGTGTGTGTGTGTGTGTGTATAATCCCTGTCTGATGCTCTAACAATGCCACTGGTTAATCTGCAGATTATGAGCCAATCCCAGTCACCCAACTCAACCCTCCACACACTTACACACACACACACACACACACACCTAGCAAAGCATGACGGGATGGTTCATCACGGGGGATATCGGACAGGGCATGACCATACAGGAATAATATAAGACAGTGTGTGTATACACAGTGTGAAGTGTGTGTGTGTGTGTGTGTGGTGTGTGTGTGTGTGTGCGCAGTGTGTGTGCAGTGTGTACAAGTCTAACACACTCACACAGTCTCTTTTCCACTTACAGACACACATAGCCATCCTACAAGACCAAACATCCCTGTTGACCCACGCAAACACATTCATACAAGATGACACACACACACACAAACACACACACCCCCAGCAGGCTAGCAGAAAAGGTGTGTAAGAAAATATCTTTGTTTTGTGATACTGTATTGATTCTCAGAAATACTGTATGATTTGTGTGTTGAGACCCGCTGCTGGGTAGCAGTGTTGTAAACAGAAACTAAGGGCTATGGTGTTTGGTCTTACAGAGACTGTCACAATACAAAATGTAGATCCCACTGTTCTGGTTGCGTAAAATAAAAGAAACTTTTAAACTCCATTTTTTTTTATATTGCCTTACTTGCAGTAGTTTCAGTTTATCGCAATTTTTATATTGAATCCTAACTCCTGTATGGTAGATACGTATCGTGTTGTTGGCATGGTTCTTGCCACATACACAGCCCACTGACAGGAGGGTGTTTGATGCAGCAATGACCCTACATTTCTCCAGTTCCGGAGGCTAGGAGAAAAAGCACTGTGTGTGTGTGTGTGTGTGTGAGAGAGAGAAGAGAGGAGAGAGAGAGAGAAAGAGAGAGAGAGAGAACAATAAACTCACTCACTCACATTCTTTGCATTGTCTCACATTAACTTTCTTCATCAGTTGTGTGTGTGTGTGTTTGTGTGTGTGTGTTCATATGGATACAAATGCTTGCAAGTGTGTATTCTTGCTGCACCCAGCCCACTCTAATTGTATTCATTCTGAAGCCCTAGAATTAGCCCGCACCCAAAAAAACCCAATAATTACTACTTCACCTACACACTGCCCACCCTGTGGCAGCGCAATGGCAGGGAGACATTTCCCAGCAGCCCCAGGGGCTGTTAGCAAGTCCGCTTCTCACATTTAGCTACATTTACAGCTTTTTATATTTCCTGTACTTCCTCAGGTGAAACAATAAATGATAGAGACAGACAACAAAAAAGAGAATGGGGAGAGAGCTTATTGGGCTCACACACACACACAAACACATACTGAAATACATGATCACAAATACAGACAAACAAAACACACACACACACACACACACGCGCACCCCGAGTTACACAAGCAAGATATTTATACATACAGCGCTGCATTCACTGAAACACATTCCAATACACACTCACGTTAACTCACACACACTCAGAAAGAGACCAGAGTGCACACACATACGAGAAAAGCACGCAAAAAGACACACACACACCTAGAAATACACACACACACACACACACACTTCTCTGATCAATAAAACATTACACAGGTTGAAGTTACATAAATGGGAGAGAGAAAGAGAGCGGAAGAGAAAGAGAGAGATAGCAAGCTGCTGGCCTGGTCGTCAATAGCAACAGTGTTTTGGAGGCTGATCATCAGTAAGTGCAGTCGGCTCTGCTGCGAAGCATGGTGGGATATCGCCGCTAATGAAGGTTTAGTGTCGGCCTATGTACAGATAGATAACACAGTGTGATATACTTTATAATGCAGTTAGGGTTAGCTGTGACATCATATGGTTCCATGGTGACCGGCGCTGGTTCAGTCACACGTGATGTGACTGGCTCTGCGGCCTGAGAGCAGGCAAACGGCTGCAGAACATTTAAACGGCCGGCGAGCTGTTTACCGAACAACACTGTCATGTCATCAACCACATTTCACAGATTTCTCTAACAAGTACTTTCTCCACTCCTGTCTCAACAGTTTTCACACAACTCAAAGAGGAACTCCAGTGAGCTCGAGAAAGTCGGGGGACTGAAGGGTTGAAATACAAGCAGCAGGCGCCGAGGCTTTCTGCTCTAGTGTGTAGTGTACAAGCACGAGTCGAGATAACCCCCGACGACGTCACCAGGGTTACTTTATCAGATTTTGGAAACCTCTTTCTTCCAGAGCCACCGAAGGCATCGCACAACTACTTCAACAGGCCGAGCGCTTCACGACTAATAACCCCAGCCCGAGGTGCACATTTGGTGGAATGCCCCTTTAACGGCCTGTGAATTGGGTATTGCGTGTATCTCGCTCAGTTTCACTCTGACTCCAGCTCACACTCTTGTGCTCCAACAGCAAGCTTCAAACCAATCACTGCAGTTCCATCACATGGTTCATTTCTCAAAGTGAAACCAATCACACGTCTCAAAACTTGACTCCTCCACGAGACAACTCACTTCACTGGACGCACTCTCATCTCGGCACCAGGAGAAACAGTGACGAAGAGCACGTACAGTATGTAAGCGCGCACGTGTTTACAGCACACAGTCTTGTGTTCCTGCTGTGTACGACAAAATGCAGAGAGGGATCAATACAAGTGCTGCTATATGGCCCGTAGACATGGGGAGGGGGCTGTCAGGGTAATTACTTTGTCCTCTGAGGGTGTATCACTCTCACAGCCAACAGCCTAGATCTGAATATGGGTCAATAAACACACACACACACAAAAGAGCAGCCAGTTGTTCCAGATGAAGGACGCTGGAAGTAAATCCAGGTCAAATAGGAAGTGGAAAGAGTCTAAATGCATCACGGACGCTTCACTGCCGAAATGGAACGACAGGTCGATATAACCGGTTATCATCTGCTGTCGATTCATACAGCGATCGTGAGATGCTACGGCGGCAACAACCGTGCTGTACGCGGCAACTACAATTTCTACTTGTTACTTGTAACCTGATCCAATTCACATGAAGCTTCTTTAGACGTTTCTTTAGGAGCTAATACGCCAGTTTATCTAACAACCGTTCACTTCAGATCCCACCGTTTCCAGGGTGACAACAGGATGGTGCGTCCTCGTTGTTTTTGGATTTACTGTACACCGTCACAATGCAGATTTCAGATGTTTTAAGTTAAAACATTTTCACTGTGAAGGATGTTTCTGTGCCGCTCTCGAAGTATTTATAAAATACGTGTGAATGAGTGCAGTCTGGTGTGTGCATCATCAAACTGTGGTTGTAATGTGTGGTTGCACAGACTTTGAAGTGTGTCAGTAGTGTTATATATTGATTTTACATTGGGTTTATGGAATTATTTGGAGATTTGTCAATGACATCCCTGCATTAGATAGATAGATAGATAGACTTGAATTTCCCTCGGGATAAATAAAGTATCTATCTATCTATGATTATTGGTGTTAACTGCTTGCCCAGAAACCAGAGCAATAAGACAGGGATGTTTTTCAAGCTCTTAATTTCAATAGCCAGGATGATATTTTACGTTGTTCTTCAAATTCCTCCATGTTGCTCTGTGATTTCCCTATAACATCCCTCTATCATTTACAGTAGGGTTCCTATCGCTGGGTGGTACTCTGGCTGCCAATGCATACGTTATGTAAACAAACCAGAATATTTGTACCCAAAAATCAGAAAATAAGAGGTATTATTTCTCTAAATGTGTGCCAGGAGCCAACATGTCAGTCATAGTTGTAAAGCGTCAAACGGAAGGTAGCTTGTAAAATATGAAATACAGCTGGAGTCAGGCTGAATTATTCTTCAGCCGCCGTTTCCTCTGTGTTGTCATTTCCACACACACCACTGTCCAGACTTCGTCCTAAGCGGACGGACCAAACGTAACGTCACGGACTCCATTATCGGACAGACTGAGCGTTGTCCAGAGATGACATTTGAGCTAATTTACCTGAAAATGGTGAATTCCGTCGTTTCGAGCCGAGTCTCCGGAGCAGCCAGGCCCGGATGCCCGTCCTCCGCTTTATCCGCCCACTTGAAGTCACCTAAAACACAGCTCCGTCTGTGTGCGGTTTCGGTTCCAGACGCTCCGGCAGAAAAGAAATATCCTCCGGGACACACAGAGGGACGTGAGGGCCGTGAGGACGGAGGGCTACGGACCGAACCCCAGAAATGTCGTCTGTGTGGCGGTGAAAGCAGTTCAAAGAGGCTGGAGGAGGATCAGTGCTGTCGACACAGGAGACGGGAGGGGTACATTAAGCTAGCTGCCACCAAGTACCACGCAGTAAACAATAACGGAACTTCTTCTGGCGTTTCAAAATAAAAACACTCTCAGGGATAATGCGTCTTCATCTGTCACGGCTTTCAAAATAAAAGCGGCAATGAGGATTTCAGTGTCCGCTCAAAATTAAATAAAATAATAACTACTTTTATCCTATAACATCTAGTTAGCCTAGATAGGTAGTTATATTTAAATACGTGCATAATTCCCAAGGCTGTGTTTTAACATAATGTAATCATGTGACACGCTCTAATGCTAGCAGTCGGTAGTCAGCTTGACGAAGTTGAAAGGAGCGGTAGGAAATGCAGATAAACGAAACAATGGTATCTTTATTTGAATAGCTTTCCTTTCCGCTGTTTCTTGTACCTCATTCGCTTATAACATTAAAACACTGTGGCTTTTCAGTGGTCTAACACTGCAGTAGCACTGTTTCAATATGTAGTTTCTCCCTTGTCCCAAGCTGTCTTCAATTAAATATTAAACATACAGGTGTATATAACATATATTTAATTAAGACAATAGAACTATTCAATAATTACTACTACCACTACTCCTAAATTAATGTTCTTAATTTTAAGTTGAAATTGAACTTAATATATCATTTCTCATTCCCTAATTTTAATAATTTTAAAAGGATGAATGTTAATTTCAATAGCTATAATCTGTGTGACAGGCAGAAACTACAACCATAACGATCCTTGTTTAATTTCTGGTTGTGTGGCGCCACCTGCTGAATAAAAGCTGCAGCGACTATAATGAATTGGATCCTATTGTTGAACATTGGTAATACAGATTATAAGTGAAGTTTTGTTATAAGTAAGTCTAAATAAAGAATATTAAAAATTCAATTGAATAAAGAAATTAAGTTTGTCATGTATTCTTTCAGATCAATGCATTAGTACTATTATTGTAGTAGTACATTTCTTCATAACAGAGCGACATACTGACATATTCAAATGTGTTTTTCCTCAGAATAATGAGGCTGTACACACCTTTATGAAGAATAACCTGCTGACAGTGTCAGTGGGTGTGTATTATTGGTCTGTGTGTGTTGTGTTGTCATCACTGCCCTTTACCCCACTCACACACACTCACACACTCACACACTCAGAGTTGGCCGTGTACACAGGGATCACACTGGGATACGAGCTGACTGGAAAATGTCTCGGGCTGCGGAGAGACTCAAACTGCTGATCAATCATCTTGATCGACAACCAGCCGCGATCGTATCCTTTTCATGGAGGCTCAAGGAGGCGGTACGGGCTGATTTGCTAGCCGACAGCTGTGCGCCTATTGGCGGCCAGCTCTGGTGGGCCAGGCCGGGGTCCCGCTGTGGACCGCAGGCCTCTGTGAAAACGAGTAGTACAGGTGTTTATTTACTGTTATTATTGTTTATGAATGGGTTAAATTACGTTAAGAGGTTTGGTTCTCGCACTCATGGGCACAGTAACACCGTTATTTTGAAGCGAGGCTGCCGCCATTGTTTCTGTGTCAGGTTGCAGGTGAAGGTGTAAAGACTGCTGCAACGCGGTCAGTGTATTTTTGAGTTACGCCAAGGCTCTGAAATTGTCTCGTATACATTATCTTTATCCATATCTAGTCTGTTTAAAGTGCTTAAAGTTACCCACAAGGCCAGTCTGTCTGTTTTTAGGTCAACTGAACGCATATTAGCTCCTATTTTGTGTTTAATTCATGATTAATAACACTGACATGAACTGAAATCAACAACCCAGAAGTCACAAAGTTTGGAAGAAGGACAGTAATGTCAAGGTGTAGATGCCCTCGCTGAGTCCTGATAAGATACATTGTTGTTGTTGCTTCTTCATGGTTTCGTCCTTGACTGATTTTCCTCAGAGAGCTGCACCTACTTCAGTTCAAACCCACAGCTACAGTCCCCCACAGAGACTGAGGTAGGGACATACCTGTAGCTCTACTGTAGCTCTACTGTAGCTTTACTGTAGCTTTACTGTAGCTCTACTTTAGCTGTAGGATTGGCGGCCTCAGGCTAAATGTCTTTGTACAATGATACAACTCACCTTTGACACAGTTTCTCCAGTGTGTGCTCCCTTCGATCACTTCTCATGATGGCCCAGTTATCTGCTCCTGTGTAATAGCTGGCGAGGTTATAGTCCTAATTACTTAATTGCTTAATTAGTGTCATTGGTAACACATTTGTTTACCCTATTATTTGGCTGCTGTGAAAAAGATATATAATTGTTAACTAAAACTAAACTGAAGGGACATTGTGTACTTACAAATCTAAAATAAAATAAAAAATATACAGGAAATGTCTTTAGTTTTAGTCTTTGTCAGTTTGGTCAAATTTGTCAACAGCAACCATGAAGAGGCATTGGTGTGTATGTCTACTGAGACTGGGATGTGTTTGTTTTGTAAAACCTGGTAGGAACTTTGTAAAAAATGTATACCCTGCCATATTTCCCCCATATTACAATAAAATAAAATAAACCTAAATCAACTAAACATGTTTTAAAAAAGCAAATCCATTCTGAAAACAATGAAAGACACAAACTCTGAGAGCTGCTGTTGCATTCAGTTTCATCCATTCAGAAGACTACAAGGATACTGGCCCTGTTTTTATATTAGTTCAGCAGCAGTGCATGTTTCATGTTAGCAAGTTGCCTTTTATTACGCAAAGTTTCAGAAAACTCTCACACGTCCTGCTTCAGTTAATTTACTGTAATGCAATATGACTTGAATGCCACATTAACATGCCAATCATTTCCAGTCTGTAATAGCATTTCATTCCAACTAAATATAAAAGTAACTAACATTTGGTGATATTGTTGTGTCTCATCTTTTTGTTTTCTTTTTGGTAGATACTCTTTTGATAACGACTTGCTGACCCCAGAACAGCGACTCTCCTATGAGGAAAATGGCTTCGTCCTCATCAAGAATCTGGTGTCTGACGAGGACATCGAGAGGTTCAGGTGACCATCTGAAACTCTGACACCTGCAAAGAAAAGGAAACTTAACATAAAAACATTGCTGTTAATAACAACAGTAACTGAACTGTAACACTTTTATACTTAAATACAAAACGTCTAAATACAGTTTACAATAAACTTTGTATATTCAATCAGAATGATACAAGATAAATGTAAATGTAAATCTGTAACTCCACAGTGAAACAAGTCACCCTTTTATAGACTGGCAGTTGTATTGTACTGTGCTGAATGTGATCTATATCTATATCTGGTCTTCAGGAAGGAGTTTGAACGTATCTGTAGACGGGAAGTGGAGGTTCTCGGTCTGGTGGTGATGAGGGACTTGGCAATCGCTAAGTCAGAGTTTGTTGCGGATCAGAAAGCGGTCTCCAAACTCCAGGACTTCCAGGAAGATCCTGAACTGTTCCGGTACTGCACCTTACCACAGGTACAACACACACACACACACACACACACAAGTAGATCACAACATGTCTTTGTTTCAATCTGGTGTCTTTTTTCAAAACTTCTTTCAGTGAGTACTTGAAGATGCATCGTGTCACAGTTTAAACATCTTCACCTGGATATTGTCAAATTATTTGGTATTCAATAAAGACACTTTGTTTAGACTTTGGCGCCCCCTAGTAGTAATACCAAAAATCACATACATTTGACCCAGGGACACTGAGATCATTTGACTAAAAGCATTACATAGAGTGCACCCATTTTGACCAGGTAATGTGTATTTTTCTGAAAAGCTATTTCCCTTTGAAGTAATTTAAACATGAACAGTGTTGGACAAAGAATTGTGTTTTTCTATCTCTAGATTCTGAAGTATGTGGAGTGTTTCACTGGACCTAACATCATGGCCATGCACACAATGCTGATCAACAAACCTCCTGATGCAGGTATGGAGCAACGAAATAATATTTAGAGTAAACTGGTTTTCATTTGTCTGGAGAACCACTGGAACCACCTCAAAGATCCCTGGACCTCAATGTGGAAACATAAAGGGTCCCATGTCAGCTTTCAAATTATGCCTCATCCAATTGTGTCCAATTATCAACCATGTCCAGGTCCAGGTGTTAGGAGATGTCTCTTTTGTTGTTTCAGGTAAGAAGACGTCTCGTCACCCGATGCATCAGGATCTGCATTACTTCCCGTTCCGCCCAGCAGACCGGATCGTCTGCTCTTGGACAGCGATGGAGAAAGTGAACAGGCAGAACGGCTGCCTGGTCGTCCTGCCGGGAACACACACCGGCACCCTGCAGGAGCACGACTACCCCGAGTGGGAGGTATAAACACACACACAGCAAATTCTACAGGAAGCTTGTTTACGCCTGCTAGTAGGTACACACACATACACACCGTCTCATGTGTCCTCAGGGTGGCGTCAACAAGATGTACCACGGAGTGCGTGGCTATGACCCAAAGCACCCCAGGGTGCACCTGGAGATGGAGAAGGGCGACACCGTCTTCTTCCATCCGCTGCTGATCCATGGCTCTGGCATGAACCAGACCCAGGGCTTCCGTAAGGTACTACGTTACCTTCGTCTGGCACAGTTTCTATTTTTTTGTGACAAAAACAAATCATAACAACAGATGTGATGAAAATATTACATAACATTGTGTGTGTGTGTGTG